CCTCAACCCCAAGAAAAAATTTAGGATGTTTTCTGCAAATTCCTAGAATGTATATATTAAACAAAACCCCCTCTAACTTTCAAGCTATACTAAATCCCATATTGAAAAATCTCATAAACGTCATGACTCATGAGCAGGTAAGACTGTAAGAGTAATACGTTTGAGTTATGAGAAATTAAAGTTTGTGACAAAACCTTTGAATGAAGAACATTCATGTGGGAAAACAAGATATAACAAGCAGGTTACATTTTGACTTTTTCCTCTACTCATTAACACCGCTATGAGATTTCCAATAGTTCAGAGGGTTAATATAATTGTGAAGGTCCAATGGGTTTTCTTTGATTTATGAAGTTCAAGATGATTCTACAAAATCACCAGAGTTCAAGGGGACTCTGATATTTTTCCTTTAGGTTTGTTCCTGAGAAATAAAAACTATATATTGTTTTTATGTTGCAACTCTCATTCTAAGCGGCCAACAACATGAAAAAGTGATACTAGGTAGTGCATAAATAACTACATCCAAGAAACAAACTTCTTCTTAATGGCTTAACAATGGTGTGTGGATGTATCTATGATTTGCATTAGGCACCACTATAACCTCATTCCTATGATAAGGGGCCTCAAGTGATATAACTGGTTACGATCAGTTGTACTCTTAATAACTCCAATGTTACGATTTGTTAGGATATTATGTCCAGTTGCAATGCTTTTGAAGGATTTATCCACATAAGAGGCACCATGAAGGTTATGATTGGTTGGCAGGGATCAATCCTAGAAACTCTCATGAGATGATATTTGTGAGCATGATCATTATCGCTCCAACTGGCTCACTAAACAGATGGTTGCATATTCTATGTGAATTTGTTAATATTTGATAGGGTGGTCTACTTCAAGACTTAGTCAATTATGCTCTTCAGGCTGCGACATAGGCAATGCTAAGAGAATGTTCAAAGCTAAAAGTTACCTTCTACCAACCTCTGAAGCACGGATTCGCCCGCGGAGGCCACGAATCCATGTCCGACTCGAATCGGACACGGATTCGTCACAACACGTGCATGACACATGTCGGACACGGTCAATCCGTGTCCGACACGGATCAACGGTCAAATTAGGCTCGGACACGGCTCGGATTCACCGAAGACCGATTCATTCGGGTTGCGGGTTTGGTTGTTAAAATCCAACCCGAACCGTTCGATTAAAAAACTCATCCCTATTTCTCAAATCTCCCGTTCGATTCGAACCTCAGCTGACTCAAACGAAAGAAAATAAGAAAAAACCCTAACCCTAACCCTAATCCCCTCTCTCAATCTCTCAGCTTCCACTTCATCTTAAGGTACTTTTTGTTTACAAACTTGTTTTTTTTTTGTGATAGATTCATATTTTAGATTGTTAGTTGAATTTTATAAATTTTTCTATATATAATAATTTTTTTTTTAAATCCTTGCCGTATCCCCGTATCCTATTTTTTGGATTTTGTCGTATCTCGTATCCGTGTCCGTGTCGTATCCGTGTCCCGTATCCGTATCCGTGCATCATAGCTACCAACGCACAGTCCTGACCCTCACATGGTTTTGCATATTTTTCATGTGATTATCTTCGAAACTCAACCTTTTAAGGATGTTGTTGGGTTTATTTAGGTTATAATCGTTTCTTATTGCTTTCCATTGTAATGCTTTTTATTTAGTTTCATATGCTATAAATAAGATAGTGAAGTGGATTATAATGAAATCTCATCTCATCTACAAATTGCTTATTTGATTTTTAGAAAGACAACATGCGTTTACGTCCATCTAGCTCGCCTACCATGCTTAGCATGTCCCAACATGCCACGACTGTGGCGTGATACGTGGCCTTATCTTCTTGCCCTCCTTTTATTTAATTAATTATTTATTTGTATATCTGTATGACCATCTGCCTCGCCTATCATGCTTAGCATGTCCCAACATGCCACAACGGTGGTGTGACACATGTCCCTATCTTCTTGCTCTCCTTTTATTTAATTATTTACTTATTTTTATATCTGATTATATTTGATAATTAATTGGTTTGTAAGAGTTTATAAGATGAAGTTTTGTTGTGGAAATTTGCGTTGTATGGTTGTATCAAAAAGGTTGCGACCGTGAAGTCATGCTATTGAACCACATGAGTTCTCGTATCTTGCATTTGTTGCCACAACTCCCTTTGAGAGCTTATAGACAAAAGCGACATCAACAGTTGAGAGCAAAGAATAGAGGAGAAATTTCTCTCTAGCTATCTGCCAAAAGTTTTATGGATGATTTTTTTTTCATCATTCTTTGCACAACATTGTATCCATATGAGCAACAATCTTGAAGTTTTGTAGTAATCTCAAGTGATGACACTCCCACAGGTTTTACCGCTAGCAATGGCGGAGTCAAGGACCGAGGTAGCGATGCCCCCCGGATTTTGCCCACAATTATCATATGGACTAATTCATAATTATAATTCATAATTAGTCCCTTACATCTTTCTCATTTTGAAATTACTCCCTCAACTCACTGAAATTGCTATTAGGTCTTCCAACTTGTAAGTAGTTTCAACTTGCTTTCTCTAATTGCTACAACTACTCTTAAGTCTTAACTGGAGGACTATTTTCAAAATAGCTTAATATCAATTTCAATTATTCGAGAAAGTTACTCAAATATGAAAGATTTAATAGACGAATATTGAAAAAAAAAATTAATTAAAAGTAGCTATACAAACAATACACTTAAAGTTGTGAGCTAGTATATTATCTATACTACCATATAAAAAAATCGTGAGGATAGACAAATGTGAAGGAATCATGAAAAATTCTCATTTTCTCAACTTCGCTGCTGCGGAAACTTTTGTTTGTTTAGGGGCAAAATTGGAATTATGAAAAAATGGACAAAATGTCCATTTCCTCAATCATTATATACACCTTCATCCTCTTTCCCAAATAAAAAATGATTTTTCATATATGCCCCCTCAAATTGCTGTTGTTTCTTTTAAACTTTAGAATATTAAAGTGCAATTAATCCTATTGTATAAAAAAATTCATATAAAGAATTTATAATTGTGTGTAACATGTGCATTTGCACATGCAGTAACACTAATATAAAGAAAAAGAGTTGTGACCCTGTGGATGAGAATGACTAAGTGTTAAGTTATGGGTCTGTGGATGAGAAAGACTAAGTGGTGCAACTAACAAATTAGTCAATATGTTTTTTTTGATCATCCCTAATTAACACAAAAGCTTTCTTCTTTCCTTTTCTTAGATTAGACTATATACAGTTTAAAGTCAAATAGAACATATCTAGTAACAGTGATCACTATTTTAAACAGCCTTCGCCCAATCCGTCTAGGCGCACGCCTAGGCCTAGGCGGTATCTAGGTCACCTAACTAGTGCCTAGCGCTTGGACGGTACCTAGGCTGTCCACCTATATTTTAAGAGTGTTTAGGGGAGCATTGTCTGTTTATGTGGATTATGGACGGCATCCTGTAGGCCTTGATCGTCATTTTTTGTATTGCAACCTCTACGTCCTCCAACCTCCTTCAAACTCTTTTAACCTCCAAATGTGAACACATCCACTACCTCCTCCGATCTTTAGCAAAACCTCATCGACCACCACTAGTTTTCTATAACATTAACATTCACTATCAGTTATTGTAATTAAAAAATAAAAAAAGAAAACCTCATAAGCTCTAGGCGTCGGGTCCAACGCCTATACCTCCTAGCACTTTCTATAACATTGTTAGTTATTATTTTGGTTATTTAGTAATTTAAGTATGCATGGTTTATTGTGGATCTAAGTTTCAATCTATTTTTTACAAATTTATATGAATTTAATACATATTTTTTATAATTATTATAATTAAATAATTTAAAAAATAGTCAAACGTCTATGCACCGCTTAGACATACGCCTAGGCGTCTACGCACTAGGCGCTAGCTGAAACTTCTAATCCGCCTAGCACCTTCTGTAACATTGACAACAACCTCATTTTTTAAGAGTTGTGGGTTCGTATTTTAGTCAATAATGTTAGGATTCTCATCATCTACATGATCATCATCCTTAACTTATTTAAGTCCTATGTTTTTCTTTATTCGGAATTGTAGCAATCTGAAATGGAATTTTTTCATGGTTTTTCTTAATAACATAACTAGGAAATTAGGTTAAATTTTCATGTGGTTTTGCATTTGTGGTGGAATTGTGAAATGAGTTTCTTCCAGTATCATTAAATTTTACAGTAAGACATAAATATGGATGTTACACAACTACATGCTACAAAAAGTATGTGTGAATGTTACACAACTACATGCTACAAAAAGTATATGTGTGAGTATACAGAGAGAAAGTGAATTGTGAGGTAATAACTCATTTTTATTCTGGTAATGAACTACCAAGTGACGTCGAAGTGAAGTCTATCCTACTAGTCATATCGAAGGTGCGGACTCACTTCTATCACCTAGCTCATTTTGCTGAGGGAGGTAGCTGCTGATATCCAGACCTCCATGCCCTCAATCGCTAAACTAACTTCATCGCAAGCTCACTTAAAAACTCAGCAAGATCAAACCTTTCCACTAAAACCGAAAAACAATATTTATCATCTCACGTTATGTTCCTACTTTGCTCTAATCTGAAACAAAACACCACCGCTACTTCAATCCCGAACTGAATCCTAACAGGATCTCTTTTTCACATTTTAAATGCGTTCTTTAAAGATCATAATACAGTCTTTCAGATCATAATTGAGAGCCACTGATCTAAACACAAAGACATCTGACCAGTGCACCAAAACCAAAAAACATCAAATTCTTCATATCCCCTCGATCATCCACTAAATTCAAGCCAAAAGGGCGCTCAAACCCCATCAAGATCAAATCTTTCTCTACGTTTGAGCTTCAATTTAATTCATTCGTGCTCATAGGTTTCACGTTTAGGAATAGATGTTAACATTTCCAGCTTGTGATTAGTTTCACAATGAAATTCTCCCATCCCCTCAAACCTGAACTAGATTCAGCTCGAAGCTCACCTAAAAACACGACAAGATCAAATCTTTCCAGATAGAAACCGTACCTTCCAAGCCAAAAGAAGTACAAAAGTCTCTAACCCCCAAGCTCCTCTATCCACATAATCCCCATTGAAAACGAACATCCTCTCCTCGGTGGGGAACCCCGCATCCTCCAGCAAGAACATTACATCATGGATCTGCCCATGGACGTCGCCGACGACGACGACCTCTCCAGCGCCGCCGTCGCCGGCGTCAAGATGCAAGCAATTGGGCTCCCTGTGAAGAATATTGGAAGCAGTCAGCAGAAGGCGATTGAGGACTTGGAAGGGGAGAACGGAGGGGAGAGAAGAAGCGGGGAGGTTTCGAGAGGAGTGGTTTAGGGCGGAGGTTAGGGTCCGGATCCAATCTAGGGTTAGGGTTCCGTCGAGGGGGTAGGAGATTGGGGTCGGGGTTGAAGGAGAAGAGGGAGGAGGGGATGAAGAGGGTGAAGACATCGATGGCCGAACGGGGGAGATGGAGATCTGCGGGGGGTGGAATTTTTTTGGGGGATGGGTTTTATAGGGGCCTGGCCCGTGGGCCAGCATGTTTGCTATATCCACTCCCAAACAGTAACTTTGGGAGTTGGATTGCCGAAAATGTCCTTTTGGACTTAGCTTTTTGGACTTTAGGAGAAGGGCAATTTAGTCCTCACACACCCCCAAAGTTACTGTTTGGGAGTGTGAATAGTTGGACCCGTGGGCCAGCTAGGAGTGACTACACTTAGGGGCTGTTTGGTCCCTTTTATTTAGGGTTTGTTTGGATTGAGCGGAATAAGGGTGAAGGAAAGTTAGGGGAACCATTCACCTCCATTCATCTTGTTTGGGAACATTTAAAAGGTAAAATTATTCACCCTAGTTCTCCTTGGTTCACCCCCTAATAGTATAAAATTTGTTACCCCCCAAAGTGGGGTGTAACCAAGGGGAAGAGAACTCTCTTCCCTTCCCTTCCCATTCTCTCACCTAGTTTCACTTAACTTCCCTTCACCCCCTACAAATCCAAACAGGCTCTTAAACCCACCCACAACATCTAATATAATAGGGAAAGATTCTCTTGAAAGCCTGTCATAAGTATCAAAAGTGTTACTTTTTGGCAGGCTTTCAGCCAAAATCGCCTCTAAAAAAGAAGATTTTAGCTGAAAGCCTGCCAAAAAGTGACACTTTTGATACTTTTGGCAGGCTTTCAAGAGAGCATTTCTCTCAAAAACAGGGAACCAAACAGCCCATAAGCAACATTTTTAATTTTTATTTTTAACCATGAGGGAGATTTTTGATTTGGGATCCTCTATTCATGAATAGTGTCCTAATATTTGCTAATACTCAATCTTGACCTTTCATTTTACATATGTGGGGCCCATTGGAAGGGATGGAGGGTGATGGGGGGGATGGATCTATTAGGAAACATTAGGAAACCCTATTCATGAGTAGAGAATCCGGCTCCGAGATTTTTGGGGGGAGGGAAGGACCAGAAGGGGGCTCGATCCATATGAGCACGTTGGATGTGAGCTTGGAAAAATCCTGACGGCCCCACGTCTGGGGGGCCCCTTTTTGTAGCCTAGGCTCAGGTGTAAAGTACAACTATCGTCGAACTTTAATAATTAAAAATTGGGTATCGATGTCTCGCAGATGCTTATCGATCATTAACCTAGCTAGGCTCCTAAGCCCCAACAATGAAGATATTTCCATCATAACTTTCTACATTGATAATGTGTCAACAAGTGATACATTTTTCGTTATGAGTGTATTATTGCTCTCAATAAATCACATTGTTAAGCATGTGATACATTTTAAACAGAAAATAAACCACAACGAAATAAAAGATACTACAATTAAATGAGATCAAGATCTTAGGTGTCAAAATACAAAAAAAAAGTATAGATCTCTCAATAGTGCAAATAACCCTTTCAGCTCTTACTTATGTTACTAACAAAATTAGAAGTAATATCTACAAGTTTTAATCATAAAAGTTAGATATCTTATCATAAATGACATCATATCTCTCTTCTGGTTCCTTCACTCCCTCAAAAATATCTCCTCATCAGTAAAATACTAGTATTCCTAGAGCATCCGTTGCATGCATGTACAATACACCTTTATCGGAAAAAATTGTTAGAACAACTACATAATTTATGATATGATAAAAAGATTTATTAAGAGAGTTAAGTCAGAAAGTTATTTTGTTTTTGTACTATAGGAGCAAGATTAAATCAGATTAAGCAGCTATTGATGGAATAAAATTAGAATACTATTTAGTTTTAGCGCTTACTTATGATTTCAGTTTTTTTGAGAACAAAACAAATAAAAATTATAATAAATGGTTGAGGATTGATTAAGCATATTAGGGAATGTATTAGAAAATCTTTCCATTTAAGCATTTTACCTGTTATTTTCAAGTTATATTTGTATCTTGAAAAATGAAATGTAGAAAACCCTAGATTTTGACATCTTGCTTGCCATATTCCTGCCCCCAGACACACACACACACACACAAGTAAAGAATTCATTAAAAAAATTTTAAAAGTGAGAAAATTATTAGGTGAATAAAATTAAGAGGAAATTGTGATCGTATGCTAACGGAGAGCTCAATTGTGCACTCTTCCTTTGATGCAATCTTTAATCAGATGACAAAGCTTATTATTTTTTACTCAGATGCATTCTTTCCTAGATGGAGGGTTTAGATGAAAAAAAATTCAAATGTACACATCCGTTTATGCAGTACTAGGTTTTATACACGTGCAATGCACGTAGTTAGACACCATGATTAATTATTTTTGGCTAATTTCCTAACTAAAATTTGTTCCTCCGTTCCATTTAATAGTTTGTGCTTAATTTTTTTCTAAACTTTAACATTGCGATTATTTATTTTCTTTGGTGTTTGTTTAAATGGGCTATACCTAATTTAAAATTTCATGTGGATATTTAAATTGATGGAAAACAAATACAATCTGAAGCTAATTTGAATTTTTATATTATTTGGACTGACATAAACCCAAGTTTTACTTGAGAAAATACAGTGTTGCAAAAATAAAAAATATTGAAATGGTGTTATACAAGCAAGGTGAATATTTTAAACCAATAAGGTAAGATAATTGATTAAAAGTATACTAAAACGATAGAAAATAGAATATAAAATTTGTTCTTAATTATTAATAGACTTCATAAAAATTATAAACTAAATATTAATGCTAACTAGAATATAAAATTTGTTCTTAATTATTAATAGACTTCATAAAAATTATAAACTAAATATTAATGCTAACTCTAGTATACTTTTATATGATAAATAGACTTCATAAAAATTATAAACTAAATATTAATGCTAACTCTAGTATACTTTTATATGATAAAAGCATCTACATAAACATATTAAAATACTAAAAAAGTTCATAAAACTCCCTTCTAAAGATTCCTAATTTCACTCAAAACAATTAAACTATTCTACAAAATATTCAGAAAATATAGTCTTTTATTCATTCTATTTTATTTTTTTATTGAACTAAGATCAATCATTCTTCACATTTATCTTCTTACTGGGCAATTCTAGAATGGTGTCTTCATCATCTATGTCGATTGCGACATCAGGTTGGAGTTATATTCTTTGCACTATTATCTTTCCTAGGCTCGTTATTCTTTTATCTTCTCGTGTAACTTCACAAAGAAGTTGAATGTATTTCTAATGTTCAACACAAACTTCTTGAAATACAGATTTTGATTTTTTTTCTATTTCAATGAGAATAAATTTTAATTTCATATATATATATATAATTATTTTTGTTCCTGATTTATTACTTAAATAAGATTAAGAGCTACATCTTTTTCCTCTACAATGAATTTTTCTAATGTGCATCTAATAAGAGTTTCTAATATATCAATAATGTTATATTTGCTTTATCCCTGTTATTTTTCACAAAGATCTGAACTAAATACCTGCATTTTCCATTGCCAATTTGCCTTAGATTATAGTATTAATATTTAATTTCTTTAGTATTTGAAGAACGAATTATGAAATTTATGAATACTTACTTTTCTTGTATCTTCCATTAAGAATTCTTCTTTGATTGGGATAAATTTATTAAATTATTCTTCAATGGAACTCAGTCGATGCTTTTTTGATTTATTTCTGTCACTTTCTCATTTTTAATAGAAATAGCTTGATTCTTTTGAATGATATGTCTAAATATTCTGATAGTTTCTCCATATGTATATATATCTTAATGAAAGAATACATAACAGTTACACTTTTTTTTTGCCAAGTTTTAAAATTTCAACACTTTTTTGTGGTTTTGAACTTTCAGGGTGTGATTTTGTAATATTTAAAACTTTGGGAGCATTTAAAAAAAATTTACTTTTAAGTTTGGTAGTTGTAACTTTAATGTTTCATGTGTCAGTGATAATTTTTAAATATCATGATATTCAAATTTTGAGGTTGTTTTTTCCAATTATTAAAATTATAGATTAATTTTTAAAATATTCAAATTACAGCGGTCTACCAATAGTTTCCAGATTTGATGTGTACTGGTTATAAATTTTAAAATTTTAGAGTTTTTTTTACGATTTTTAAATTTTGAAATAGTTTTTTCTATAACTTTTGTAACTTTGAGGTTAATCTCCGCAAATTTTTAATTTTTAGGTGCATGAAGGTGATCTCTAAGATTCATCTTTTGTTGTTTGAAAATTTAAATTATTTAAAATTTTAGGGTTTTTTTATAATTTAACCTTTTGAGGGTGTTTCTATAATTTTTAGGATATTAAGGGTGTTAATTAAAAATTTTAAATTCTTCGGAGGCTACTGTTAATTTCTTGATTTCATGTTTGTTGTTTTTATTTTTGAAATATCAGAAAATTTCAAGTGCATTATAGTAATCCCCTGAATTCATCTATGTTGTTTGCAAGTTTTAGAATTTTAGAATTTCAGGTGCTTGTTTGTAATTTAAACTTTTGAGGGTATTTCTATAATTTTGAAATATTGAGATGTTAACCATAAATTTTAAATTCTTCTCAAACTGGTGTTAATTTCTTAATTTTATGTTTGTTATTTTAAGTTTTTAGACGTCGGGATAGTTTTTATAATTTTAGTTTTCAGGGTATTTTGTACAATTTTTTAACTTTTTAGGTCTTCTTTTCAATACTTTATATATTATAGCTACATATGATTTCTTTATCTTAACAAATTAAAACAATAAAGATATTTTATATATTTTATTAGTATTATTTTTTAAATTGATAAGCTATAGATAGGTCACGTAGGATTAGGATAAAATATAATTATGATTAAGATAGATTAAAATATAAATAAAATATTTAAAATAGTGAACTATAAAAATGTTTTATATATTTTATTAATATTATTTTTAAAATAGTTAAGCTATAAATAGTTCATGTAGGATTAGGATAGGATATAATTATGATTAAGATATATTAAAATATAAATACAATATTTAAAATAGTGAAGGGTAATATTGACCATAGAAAGATTTTTTCGAACTC